AGCCCTAACCTGTAACGTTTATTGTGTGAAGAGAAGTGAAATATTTTAGACACCACATCGCAACAACCTACAAACACAGGAGTCACATTTACATCAGGGAATGCTGTAGAAAAAGAGAGTAACTACAATATCCTTCATTCAGATGCTTTTCTCAGAGTTTGTTTTTGAACTTTTTGTAAAACATATTTAAAAGGTGGCAGAGGTCTCATTTCCTTTATTTTCATTTATATCACCTTGACTGAGCTGAACTATAAGGACATGTTTTAGGCCTGTTGTCTTGGACTAGTCCCACATGGGAACTTCACTTCAAAGTGTAACTAAAAACAGTTCTGTCAAGGTCAGTTAATGCAAAGGTAGGACTGAATGTCGGGGAGAGATGAAGTCAAGAATGTTAAGATCTTTCAGAGGAAGTTCTTGTGAATCTGCATTGTAATCCTGCCTGAGGGTAACCTCATCATTTGTCATCATTTCTTTCCAAAGCATTAGGTAGTGTAATAGGAAACACTCATTTTTCAAATATTTCAAGACAGCTCTTGGAACGATTTCTCTCCTAGTTTCAGTCCTTCACACTCTAGCTACAGAATTCCTCAAACTTGTGGAAGCCAAAAGACGTGCTTTTGAAAAGTAAATAAAGAAATTATCATTCTGCACTGAAATGTACTCCTTGATGTGAAATATTTTGTCATTTATGTTGCCCATCCTGACAAATTCTTATGGAATGGTTTTCCAAGTGCATTGTAGGGTCTGGAATAATGACCCTACATAAACCTTGATAAACAAAAGTACTTTGTTGTCTTTTCATCCTTTAAGGAAAGAAAGGACAAAATATTTGTCCAATGCAGGTCATGGTACAGAGACAACAGGCTTCATTACACAGTGAGTGCGTAGCATAGTTTTGACTCCGAGCATAAACCAAAGGTTTTAAAGAAACCAGTTTTGGGATCCATTCAAGTGATACACTGTACTGCACCACATCTATGCAGACAGAGGAACTTGTGTGGTGTCTGTACAGAAAATGCCAGCAGGCTTTAATACACAGCCGAAAATCCGTGAACCAGCACAAGACAGAGCCTGCAGTAAGCAACAGCACAGTTCATTAATGAAACTTTTTCAAGAAGCTGTTTGGCAGCACAGCAGACAACAGAGCTCTGCAGCTGAGTCCTGGAACTCAGCCATGAGCTCAGTTCCCCCCCCCCCCACCCCCTCGGTGTCTCAGGAGGTGTGCCGGAAGGGCTGAGCTGATCTGTCACAGGGAGAATTAGCCTGTCTCCCTGGAGCCACTGGGACCTGTGAAGTTCCTCTCATTAGAGACAGCACAGATGCTCAGCAGTTTAAAGAGAGTCAAGCACTGGGATGCAGGAAGCCCCTAGCGAATCCAAGAGCATTGGGAGGGTCTGTGACTTCCCAGAGCCCACCATATGGCCTTGGGAAAGCAATACAGACAGAGAAGGCCAAGGAAGAGCTTATCAACCACAGTGCATGGTACTGCCATGTCTAGTCCAGCAGTGAGAGGCTCTTTTCCCTTGGGAATAGTGCTGGCACATGAAATAAGGTAGCTTTGGGCCAACTCTTTGAGGGGTGTGATGGTGTTCAGCTCATTAAAGGCATTGGCGTTCTTTATGAAGCAAAAGGTAAATGGACAGAATAGTGATTGCTATTCCATTACATCTGATTTATACATAATTGCATAAAAGGCAAGGATTTATTTGAAAGTTACTCTTGTTTGAAAGTTAGGAAAATATATGCCATGTTTTCATCACAATGCTTAGGTAAAAATTGTCGTTTTTCATTCATAGTTAATTAGTTACCACTTAGAGGATGCATAGGCGCTACAATGAAATTAAAACAGAACTCAGTCTTGCTTTTTAGACTGCAGGATAATTTTCTGTTTCAAAACTCCTGTACAAAGCCAATTTGGCGCACAAACTTTTAAGTGTAGCCTCCTCATCGTTCAAATATGCCTTATGGTGGACCTCAAATTCTACTGGTGTTGACGGACACAAACTGACTCTTTGCCCATTGGGCATTTCCACACTATAAATCCCCATTGGAAACACTTATGTGTGACAAAATAATGCACCAGTGCTGTGTTAGTGGTTGAAGGGAAAAAAAACAAGGACAGAGTAAAATTTCCAAAAGCAGCAGCTTTTTGTATCAATGCAAATTCAAATATATGCAGTGAATGCATCCGAAGTAAACAGTGCCGCAGAAGGTCTGAGTGTATATAGTATATTGAGAGGGTATTAAAAAGCAAAAAGCAAGTTTAGTGTCTAATTTTACTAAACAAGCAAAATACAAACTGATGTATGGCAGAAAAAATGGACTGTACATAGTGCTCGGCACTTACTACGCATTCATAATTAATGTTCAAAACCATTATCAAATCAAAAAAGGTTAAATGCCAAGGGTTTCCATTTTTCCAATGAGCAAGGCATCGACATAGCATTGACTTAATAAGACCATTTATTTCTCAATGTGAAATTTTCCACTCAGACGTACTGTATGCAGCTCAGCAACACATACTGTACACTGAACCATTGTGACCTGGATGTTTCAGGGTCATATTGAGTTTATTTGCCAGGAAAGTCTGACAACTAAGGTCAAACACTGTCATGCATGAATATGAGGTCACAATTTCCATAGAGTATGGTACAACTTGCGTGTTATGAACATTGTCTCTGTTGTCTCTATAAGATTACACAGTCAAAATACCATCCATAAGCCCAGTGGTCTATATCCATACTGTATTAAACCCTCACACTGTCACTCCTCCATCTCCAAACTGATCCACTCAACATGGATGGTACCTCTCTGCATGCTCTGAAACAGACTGAACTGTAACTTGTCACCAACATTGTGTCAGTTGGCATTTGGCCAGTTTCTGTTGCAGTGTCTCCCAGAAATTAAGCTACCTTATTTAGGTTATTCAGCACCAAGCCCAGGTACTGTATATGCAATAGGTTTAGACACCCTCCTCATGGAGCACTTTGGGATGGTGCAGGTTTAACCCATTCTCCTCTACAAACTCGCTCATGCAAGTTTCATTGATATACAGTAATTTCAAAGTCTTCCCACAGATTTTGGACTGGACTACTCAAGGACTTTCACTTTCTTCTTTATAAGCCACTCCAGTACATTTGCAGTTTTTGTTGACATTTGTTAACACATTTTGATTAAAAAAAAATAAAATAAAATCACTCATCATTTGTAATTTATTGACAAGGGACATAGTTGGAAGGGAGTAAATACTTTTGCACTGTGGAATATAATAGTAAAGTAACATCTCATTTATTATGTTAGTTTTGTGTTCTAAATAGATTTTTAACTCCATGATCCAGCTGTGAATGTCCACATCCCCTAACAAAATAGAAAACTAGAATCTGACCGTGTCGTAGGCATGCATACAATATGTAATTTTTTGTTTTTATATTTAACAATATGTATGTAACTAAAATCATGTCCATTGCCACAGCCAACAATAATATTCAACTGACATTTCAGGATAGTAAATTGAATCTTAATTTATTATTAAGTTAATTAATATAACTCATATAACTCTTTTCTAGCAACCATTATGGAATATTGCTACTCTCTAGTCACCTGCAAAATACCTTTTTTCTGTGTGTTGGACTACAGTCCTTTACTTTTCTTACACAGATAGTTTAATAAAAGCAACAACTGACTGACACATGTTATTGATGGATATCTATAAACTGTTGAAAATAATACCAACTATAGAGTACATTACTTTACTGTAGTATAACTATAACTAGTTTATTCATTTAGTCTTTTCATAGTTTTATTCTGGAATAGACCAAAGCATTTTTGTAGAACATCTACTACATTGTACATCAAATTAATTTAATATATAAATGTATCAGTATTCTGAGAGTTTTTTCATACCTCGTGAAATGTTTATGAGCTAAGCCCTTCTTCATGTGTTTATTCTATTGTGAAAACTTTGATGCAGCCTCTATCAACTGGCAATAGCCATGTCTTACATTTAAATGTTAAAATGTTAAAAGTTCAGTTCTGGTGCTATTCTAACTCTAGAAATATTGTAAGAATGTGTTTGTGTGTACGTTTCCATGAAAACATGAAATGTAGTATCATACATCACCGATTTGGATGTGAGCTATGTCACTGTGTCCAGACTTCCCCAAACTTGACGTATACAATTGGCTGAGTGGACTGGAGTCACTCTGGGTATCTCTCTCTGACGGTCTGAGTCTGACCCCTGCTACACCTGTGAGCTTTCAGCAAGCAGCTCCACCAATCAATGTCAACTCTGAGGTGGGCACTGAGGTGGGGCTCGTAGTGTGAAAAATGATGGGTGGCTAAGACAGATGCTCATGTCAGAGAAGATTGCAGTAACTTTTGTCTTTTTCCTGTGCTAACATAAGGAAAAAAATCAAATTGGGAAGGATATTTCAAATAAATTCTGAACTCTCAACAAGTGTATTTGCAAGGGTCTGACACAAGGGTGTTTGAACAGAAGCCACAGAAGCAGAGGGAATGCTCAGAGACATGTAACATAGCATTACATCTTCTAGTTACAAACAATGAGATTTCATTGGGTCATCCTGCCTGTCTGGTGGGCATCCTGATTGTGTGGTATGTAGGTAAGGTGTCATGCTGTAAAGTCTGTATCATTTCCCCTGTCAGACACACAGACAGCTTGGTGTCAGTCTACCCTGCTGTAAGGGGAAAACTGTCGACTTCTGAACTGCACATGACCTAAGCACAACCAGGAACAGGGTGAGGCAACTCTGGCCAGCATGGTCGAGTTCCTGAAACAGATACTTCTGCATTGAGTCAGCGTCTGACCAAGTCGAGGAGCCTGTGTGTACGCAAGATAAGGCTCACCCTTAGAGTAACTTCCTTCTTTTTTTGAGAAACAGCCCTCTTATTATTCTCTTTCATTTTTTTTGGGCGGGGGGGAAAATGTGAGGGGTCAGAAAGGCAGTAACAGACTAATGACTTAATCTATTTCATTTCAGAAATCAAAGACCAAACTGGTGACAACCAGCATGAGTGCCAAAGCAAGTATGAAAGGTAACTATTATGGAGAGATGTGCTAAAAATGGAATGTTAATTCTGTATAAGCTTAGGGAAATGGTGGCTTATCTAAAATTTGCTTTTCCTAAAACTTTTATTTTCCATTAGGTGAAATTTGAAGCATTATATTTTCATATTGGGGATATTATGCATAAGTTGTATTTTTCCCTTCTCTGAGCAGATGAATGTGGCCTATAGCAGACTGTTCACTGTCTGCCTTGGTCTTTGGGAATGGAGGAAGGTAACAAGGGAATATATTGACAGTGAAAATAAAGTTATTGACATATCTCTGCCTGGGGGCAACGTTTCCTTCAAATGGGTTCCTATTCCAGAAAAGACATCTAAATTCACAACAGCGTACACAGGCCTTTCCCTTTGGGCCCACAAGGGATTGTTAATAAGGCTATGTCCTTTAAAAACTGAGAAAATAAGATACATTGGCTTCAGTTGGTAATCATGTCCTTTTTTTGTTCCCTAGCCCTGCAGCTTAATCATACGCAACAGCAGTAGTTATTGAAATGAAACTGGAATATTTAATTAGTAGGTTAAGTGCAAGCACATACTACCTACATTCACAGTGGACATACTAATTAGCTGAATTCTTGAATGTTACAAGGGAAAAGCACATTTAAAGCAGAAAAAGATATATTGTCTTTTTTGTTAAGCACAAGTACCTGATACAAAGTGAGGATGTTAAACCTTGGATATAAAAGTGATGCATTAAGATTACACGCAGCAGAAATTTTCATACTTCTTTATCAGTTTATTTGTCTATCCTTTTGTCTCAAGCAGCAATATATTAATCTTTCATATAAACCCTGATGCATTTATTATTGTATTATATAAATACATGTTATTTATTGCTTCCTAAAATTCTGCAAATGAAGAAATATTCTGAGAGGTCAGATTAACTTCTACTTTGTTTGGTTTTCCATAAAATGTAAGTGTTTTTGTTTTGTTCTCTCAATCACTGCTCCATAACCAAAATAAAAATGGATCATAAGTAATAATCTACAGTAAAAATCTACATTTTTTTCCATTGTTTTCCAGATCCCTGGTATACTGTATAGGTATACAGTATATATCCCCACATCTCTTTTATCTTCCATTCACAACCCTATATACCTTCACACAATCCCCAGCTTTTCTGCCCCAGGTTCCCTTGTGAAAATCATGTGAATGATTCATCTGTAATTTCCAGGTTCAATGTATTGACATGTTCACATGTGAATATTATGCGTGATACAAAATATATGTGGAACACATAAGATGCTTTTATGTGTATAAATTAGGCTTTGTTTCTGTTCTGTGAAACTGCTTGCTAACACTAAAAGGTGCCAATTTTTGTTTTGTGCTGCACAATACATCAGGTAGCTTTTAAACTGTCCTTCATTAGTCAACAATAATTAGACCTCACTAATGAATTTTACTACAGAGCTTGAACAAGAGCACAATTACAATTGTATATGACGGTATGTTTTTAATTTTCCTGAGGCATTGGAAGCTTTAAAAAGCCAGTGGGCATAATGACTGCATATTTAGAGGGTTGCATTGGATAATGGAAAATGCAAGTTGAATGCCGTGGTAAATATTTACAAGTTATTTCTGATCACAGTGCAGTCTTCTCAGCATTTAATCTACTTCTTTCTTAATCTAGTCTCCCCTCATGAAGTGAAATCCAATAATAGCCAAAGGATAAGATAAGACAAGTTTCATTAGCAAACACCTTTGAGGTTTAGTCCTTGTTTTCAAGGATGTTTGCTGGTAATGTGATAATAATGTTACATAAGGCCATAAGAATGGCTTCAAGTAGAGGAGGTCACTCAACCCATCGAACTCCTTTGGTTGCTAGTACTTTTTCTTGGAATAAGTCAGGGTATCAGATTTGAAAACTTGGTTGGGTAGCTTGTTCCAGGCTGACATAAAACCTTGAGCTTCCACCTGTACTCATGTTTACTGTTGCTTCTGATGTTCAGAAATCCTGGGAAAGATTCTAGCATGTTGCTCATCACAATCCTAATTTGTTAAGAAGAATGAGAATATGCAAATACCATCATGATTGGGTGCAGGTTCAAATCAATTTAATTAAAATTAAAAACAGTTACAAACTGCTTTGTTCCTCTTTAGGGCTTCCTAAGTCAATATTTTCTGTCTCTAATAATTCATAGTAAGCTTTGATTATACCGTTCACGTGCATGTAATGGTAAATAGGTAGCAGTGTTAAATGTAACTGTATTTGGCTTCTATTGGAGCTCCACAGAAAGTATTAAAAGGCAGGCAAAATGAAATGCACTACATTAATGTGTCTGCTCCCGGTTTGCAAGTTAGCAGGGCGTGAATTCAAGAGGGACCTCTCAGTTGTATTCGCAGCCTCCTTCACTTCTCGGGGAAAGCGAGAGACGAATGCATCACTATCGCTAGACACAGCCGGGGGAGAGACTGGGCACGCATGAGGTGACAAAATCCAGAGCCCCCGACACAAATCTACTCTGGCGTTTAGGCATTGCTGTTTTTTCACTTTTACTGAAGTGTGACTTTTTTTGCCTGTCTTTCCCGCAAAAAGATGGATATGTTGTAAAACAGGGTTTGCAAAATGGAAGTAAATGCAAGTTTATTGTAGAAGCGAAAACTAAACAACTGGCTTTGTTTTTTTCTTTCTCTGCCAGGCGTTTCTGACAAAGTGGTTTAGGGATTGAGGGATGAACGATGTCAGTCTTTGGAATCCTAATTCTTTAGAAAAACGGGTGAATAGATTTTTGTAGAGGTTTAGCTTTAGAAGCTGGACAGTTTAAGGGAGCTGCTTTACCCAGTGGATTGATCTACCTTTTGTGCATTTGTTTGTAAAGTAGGAGCACAGCACTCTGCCACTGTTACAGTATCGAGTGCTACATGAAACTTAAATAAACTTATTCTCCACATAACTCTTATTGTTTAATCCCTTTATATCAAAATGTTTTAGTTAAGATAAGGACTTTAATCTGAATGTGACTCCACTATAGTTTCCTCCACATGCTGCTACTATTGCTACTCCTGTGACTATTAGCACACTAATAATGATAAATGAGAAGTTGCATTTTTCCCCATCAGATGGAAGTGGAAAAAAATTACTCGGGGTTTTCTCAAATCCCCTTGATCATCATTTGCATGTACCCAAGGCCCAGAATGATTTTAACCCACCCTTGGGCTTTGTATTATAACAGTCTTGGTGGGAGACAGATTTTTCCAGTAATGGGTGTTTAACATGAGTTATTGGATTCAGGTCATGCAGGAGCAGTCACAGCAGCACCCAGAGAAAACATAAACAGAGGCAGAGCTCAGCTCCTAACACATCACTCCAGACAGGAAGGCAAATCTGGCAGAAGGTCATCTGGCCCCCAGATGCAGAGACAGGACTGCAGAGATTTATTAAAGAAGACATGTTAAAGATGGTTCAGACCCCAGATTGCACTGCTCCAAATCATTCAGCAGTTCATCATGTAATATATTGTATTCATGATATCGACTCCCTGGTATTGTCTTTAAAGCCTCAATGACTACTGTGATAAACTTCCAACAATCATCACGTCCAAAAACAGGAAAATTAAAATAGCAGCCACGACAGCCTTGTAGTTTGGAAGTTTGCAAAACAAACTGCTGGTGATCTCCTTCATCCACACCCAAAGATGGTTCCACAGCTGAAACACTGTTTCTTTTCTTCTCTTTAAAGCATGGAAAAAACCTTTACTTGTTCCTTTGCAGCCTATTTGAACTACAGTATATACACTTTATTTTTAAAAAGTAATGGAAAGAGACAATATTAGGGGTGTCTGCATTGTTCTGTTTTTTTTTTTTTTATTGTACAGGACTTCAACACCCAAACCATGGTGTAAGAAATATCTAGTGGACACAGCTGAAAAAATTACTTTACTGCAGGCGCGGATTTAGTCGATCCCCCCTCCTTTATTTGTGCGAGCTATAGTAAACTCGAAGGCGAGTGATTTTCTCCGTCTCTGTAATCTGAGTCTTAGGGGTGACATACATCCCCAGGAATGAAGCCACCGCAGAGCCCTGCACATGACTCACTTATTGCAAGGGAATGGTGTCTAACATGTCTGTGCTGTGTGCGAGAGGCTGAGCTGTGGGCTTCTATTGTTATCCTAATTGTGCATGGTAGCAGGGATGATAAAAGACAGTAAGGACGAGCTGTAACTTTGTTATCTCTGGAAATAATGGTCAGACTGACTCCTGTGCAAGGCATGTCGAATGCCATGTAATTGTTTTGTCAATCAGTTGCACACGACAGTCTTGTCGAGATCACCTTTCACCCTATTGCCTCAAGCCAGAGTGGTGAACTGTGACCTATCTTTCTAGGTAAAGGCCTCACTGGCTGTATCCCAGAGGACTTAAACAAAGTCACATCAATTAAGCTCTCTCACGTAATTAGCAAGTTAATTCATGGCTGGGGAAGTTGGGTTTCAAAGGGGGCTTGAGCTGTCTTTACGCAATTACCCTGACTGAAGCAACACTTGGCTAATTTTCTAAGACATTTGATACTTTGAACTTACAATTATTCCATCTCTGGTATATGCCACAACTGCCATATCTAATATGCCTGGTGTAAACAAGTTGCTATTATTTTTTTTTTATTCCATTGCACGTTACACATATCTTGTTTCACCCTGGCCTTAAAACAGTCTTAAAAATGAACTGCGTTTTGTTATTTTTAGAGAACCTCTTCCATGATGACAAGATGTTACACTGAACTCTCACCCAGAAAAACCTCCTACAAACAGGAGCTTTTGGGATGGGCAGGCTGCTCTGAAGGTATGTAAAATCCTATTTTCTCATGAAAAGGTTACCGTCAGTAGGCTGTGCCTCGCGCCAACAGCAATACACACCCATTCAAAACTTTTATGTAAATTGATGCTAAATACTCCGTGCCTGGGAGCTGCTATAACAAGAATTTTCCTCCTTTTTTGTAATTTGAAATTCCAAACGAAAAGGGAGCCTTTTATTCTAAAAGACAAAACAATCAGGCTAGGTTTCATCAGACATAAAAAAGAACTAGAATGTAAGGGGTTATGTACAAGGGAGGCCATTCTGGCTGCTGTGTACTTCTGCACTTCAGATATTTCTGTATTTGAAACAACTGCTTTGCTTTAGAGGAAAACACCACAGCATGATGAACTGGTTAAGCTCCCTCTAGGTGTCTGAAGAGTACAACAGTGGACGAGTGTGAATCCTGCACACATTGTATTAAGAGTCTTTCCCTGAGTGCTCCTCCGAGGTGTCTGTCTCAGCTGGTAGCCCTCAGAGATCGAAGGGTGATGGGCTCTGACTCCCTTGTGAAACTACTATACACAAAGAAAGATTGTATGCACGTGTCTCAGTTTGTCTGACAAAATAATTCTAATTTTTGCCCTTTTACACTGCATTTGGATTGTCTGAGTTAGATGTAACAGTGCTATGAGAGGCTACAATCTGTCCTCTGTAATAATTCAGTTTTTTTTTAAATTTAGATCACAGGGTTTTTCTCATAAATATAATCAGTTTTTATATTTTAGTTTCCCACAATATGCCCATGTTACAAATGTGAAGCTAAGTGAATATCAATTGATTTCCAATTAGATACCTTTTGGAAAATCTCTTTAAAGTTCAATTACCAGCTGAGCCATCACTCACTGAAGAGAGAAAATCTCTGCAGCATAGTGAGAGACTCCATCAATGCAACCCACAGTGGTGTTATCACTGGTCTCGCTTTGCTTTGTGTTGAACATTCAGAAATTTTATTTAAGTTTGTGGTTATACAAAACCGTAGAATCATAGTTAAATACAGTGTTGATAAGGAGAAAACCAGACAATACTCATATATTCTGAAAAGTCATGTACCACAAAAGCCTGACGTTTTCAATTAATTAAATTACAGTGAATCAAGTGCACCTTAAATTGGAAAAACAATATGCTTACATATCACAAAAGCTTGGCGCTGAGCATGCTGGTAAGGCATTTAAGTATGTTTCTGTCTATGAAAACAATAATGAGAGATAAAAGCTTTATTTTTCGGAGAATGGAGAGATCACATTAATTGGAACCAGTCTAAAGCAGCGTCATGCTTTAGTTGTTAAGATATTTTTCTGGTACACAGTGTTTTGTTTTGTTATTTGAATGAAATAGAATAAAAACAAGTTGAAATGCTTGAAACATAAAGTAGTGTGTTCAATTCGTTCAAAAGCCTGACCTGACAAATTTAGCCTGAGCGCTGCTGTCTTTTAATCGCTGATGAGTGAAATACTGTGAATGAGATTGAGCAATCAGAGTACTGATATTGGCTTTTTGAATTGCATCTCCTTAGCCCCTGCTACTGTGCCAACATTTTTTTCTCTTAAGTTGTGCTTTCAGGAAGAGGGAATCCATTATGCCTCAAAGAAAGGGTGCCGAATTAGATTTCTTAATAACTTAGTGTTCCGAATCACATGACAAGATGCAGACCAAATATTACTTATCTTCTCATATGTCTGGTATTATCTTACAACTGGATACACACACCCAGGCAGGATGCTATCGTTTGAATGTATCACCCAAAGAGATGTTAGAGACAGTACAGCACTGTTCATTGTTACTAGCTCAAATTTGGTTTTCATTACAGATAGCCGTTTGTCTGTCTGGCAGTACAAAAGGAAAAGTCACAATTTGGAAATGATGTAGTAAAAGAATTGTGTATGCACTTTACCTCATTAGCTCTCCCTTTTGATGTTTACATACAAATGTAATCCCTTCCATCAAGTGCAGCAAAACCTGAAATGTGCAGAAAGTATTGTTTGGTTGCTGCATGAAGCATACTGTGGTAAACTTCTTAAACAAAAACATACATTTAGGTTAGATTTTTTTAAGCTTGCAATTTTTTTTTTCTGTAGATTGGGTAAAGAAGAATCGTTTAGTTTGTGAGTCATTGTTTATTCAAAGCTTTTTCATATATCTAGTAAGGCACATGTGATTGTTTTAGGCTAACTTGAATAGCAAATAACCCTCCCTGGATTATTAAGAATCCACATGACCAAGCTTTTATTCACTATAAGAAATTCAAATGTTCCAAGGTGGTCTTAGTTAGAGTTCACAGTGAGTAGGAAGAGAGTCATTTCTGCAAATGTGGAGCAAAGTTTACACTTCAATCATTCATCATTGTGGTTACAAGAATGAAATCCAGCATAAGACATAAAATGAAAAGAGCAAATTCCTGAAAGAAGAAAGAATCCAAACAATTACCTTAATTTTTCAAAGCAGCGCTGCCTTGATTTGTATTTGTTGTAAATTTGGAAATTATTTACAAAATCACTGAATAAAATAAAGATATTCATAAAAAGGACAGTTAAAAAGAGGATCTCTGTTTTAGATTAGGTATTCAGCCTATGTGTCTGTATCTGTTACATCGAAGCCAAAAAACAACAGAATTATTTATGAGGCTATGTTAGTGGAATAATGTTGTGTTTAAAATGTACCTAAATACAACCCATAATTTTATCTCATTCCTCATTTTGTTTTGCCTCGCATGTACAATATGTACTTTGTGTTTTCCACAGTTTGAGAACAAGACTTTACTTGTGAAAGGTTGTTTTTCATCACTCTGTTTGGAGGTGGCAAAGATCAGGGGCTCAGAAGATTGAATCGTTTTTTTAAATGAGATTTTTAGTTAAGCTTTGTTTAAATAAGAAGATGCCAGCTTCTTCACAATTGCTGTAAAATACAGAATACAGAAGGAAGACTGATAATGAAGCCCCCACCATACACCATTATTCATGATTCACTATGAATAACACTGATTGCTGAAACTGATATTACATACTGTAATTGTTTCTCCTGTCCACCTTGGCAGAAATACAGTGCATGCAGTAGTTTTGCTTGTAACCCTTCCACACCTTCACCACATATTTTCATTAGTAGTTGCATTAGATCTGTTTGTACTTTGAGTGCATGGCTGAACTCAAGTTCCTTTCTGTAAACTCTAAAAGAATTAATGTGGAGATATTAAAAATAATGCTGTAATGCTTCAGGTGCTTTCTTATTTAGTCTGATTACATTTCACTCTGAGCTTGAACTACCTCTCCTACCAAAAATCTGTCTTGAAGCAAACGGTGAAGCAGTTTCTCATTTCTATGCTATATGTGCTGTGTGACAGGGCTGGTGGCACAGAGTGGCTGCTGCCCATCACCCAGATGAGCATGGCATTTCAGTGGTGGGTAAAGGGAGCCAGGTTCCCTTCATCCACATATTGCAATATTAGAGGATGAAAAGTGTTATACAAGTGCAAATCATTAAGTATTTTAAACACTCGTATCCCTTCAATGTCTAACCTTTGACAACTAAGAATCACAAATGATATGGGTATAGTATGGATCCATTATTTTATCCATACTTTTTGTAATTACTTTGTGGTGGTTTCACTCCTTGTGGAGAGTTTGCCACTCTCCTTTCCTATATGATCTGTGAGTTTCACTAGTCTGCCATCTGTACCAGAAACTTAATTAATAACACAGAGCAGCCAGAGCACTGAGCCTACAATGGATCCCTTCTGTACTGCTTACATCTTTCCAATTCGAGGTTGTGTCCATTAAGATGATGTGCTGTTTCCTGTTTGTTAACCAGTTCTTGATCCATGTGCACACATTACTGTGGATTCCTGCAGCTTTTAGAGAATTAAGCTTTTATGAGGGACCTGGAAATTCTAACATACAGTATCACGTTGTATGTTTTGGTTTTATAAGCTGCCCTTTCTGCTTGCTTAAGTGATGCTAGTAAACTTGTTAAACAAAACTTCCCCTGTTTTATCCATCTTGGCTGTCTCTTAAAATGCCATTGTTTCAAAATGATTCTGATAGTTTAGCGTTTACTGTTGTTTCCATAGCTTTACCAGAAAATAGGCAAAACTTATTGGTCTGTAGGTTAGCATCAGATTTACAACTCTCCAATCTATTGGAACAGCTCCCTTCTGAAATGAGAGTTGAAATATCCTAGATAGAAGACTGTGAATAACATTCTTGGTTTCCTTTAGTTGGACTTAGAAAATAACATAAGGCCCCAGCAATTAATTAGCTAGCCTGATTCCTGTAGAACCCTAATAATGCTAATATTATGAAGAATATATTTTTTGTTTGTCATTCTTATGATCATATATATTTTTTTAATTATCTTTTAACCTTGACACTCCTACCTCATTTTTGTAATAATTTCAAAGTAAAGACCCTGACTTTTAGACAGAAATGATCATTCCTAATTGGTCATATTCAATGAAAATCAGGTGAAGATCTTGTCCAATCATGTCAATCCCGAGGCCAGCGAGTAAAATGTAGTTTGTGTGGGGGTGGATGAGTGTGTGTGTAAAGGGCAAGGGCTGGGTTATTACCAAGATAATGGTTAAACAATCACAGCTGGGAATGGGTTTTAGCTCTTGGGAAGAGATTTAATACAACTAATTGCTCGATTTTCTATAGTGTATCCATATAAAAGGATCTTTAAATGTTTTACATACAGTACGTGTTGCATCTGAAAGACAGCAGCTAGTAGCAAATCAGGGTTGGAGCCTCCCTTCAAAATATGTTTATTAACCTTGATGGTTTTCTACACCACTTCAGGAACCCAAAATGTAGCTCCCTGTCAATTTGTATAAAAAATGTCAGGATGGCTAACATATTGGTGAGAGAGCTAAACTGCAATTAAGGTATATTTGTACTGTTAGCCCGAGGTATACAGAAGAACTAAATGAATGCCTGGTGTGTTCTTCTCTGTAAAGCAGGTCTGATAGACCTGTCACAGACCTTCCTATGGACCTA